CACATATGCTATAGATTTTCAGTACTGGCAGTAAATATCGGAACGTAGCCACATAATTTTTTAAGTACCAATATAATAAACTAAAAATAATGTATGTGACACTTATGAAATTATATATAGAAATTGTCGCAATATATTGTAGTATATTAATACACATATATATTTTTTTATATACACACTATATATATATATATATATATATGTATAATGTCCTATATAATGTATATGTTAGCGTCAAAACCCGAAGTCGGGGCAGTTTTAGGATTGACTGGTCAATGCCCGAAAAAAAGTTTAGGATTAGGTTAGGTTAGGTTAGGGTTAGTTTAGATTTTTCGGACATTGACCAGTCAATCCTAAAACTGCCCGGACTTCGGGTTTTGACGCTAACATATATATATATATGTATATATATATATATGTATATATATATATATATGTATATATATATATGTATAATGTTAATCATCATATACATTGAATGAAAAAAAATCCATAAATGTGTGCGTGTGTGTGTGTGCACACTTATCGATGATTCTGTCGACAAAATAGATTGCATGTTAGGTCAACAGTAACCATATATATAATACTTCTATATTGCTAGTACGGTGCCGACCTGAAGCCCAAATGTTACGGTCCAGACAATATAGTAGCCTTTCTCTTGCGCAAGGTCCAGCTGCTTTGTGCACATGCGGTGAACATTCAAGCACGCTTGCGCATTTCTCTTTCTCGCGTTCTTTCTCTCACTATCCAATTCTTTGTCTCGCTCGCACTCGCTTAGTAGACGCGCCTGCGCATAATGACGCTCTACTATCTATGCCCATATTTGGACTTNGTGCGTCTNTNTTTCTCGGGCCTCGTGCCTCTCATTGCGAAGATACGCGACTAGCAATATAGAAGTATTATATATATGACAGTAACTGATAATCAGCTGTTATCAAAACACAATATATATTTTTTAAATTATGTACTTTGTGTTGGTATCGTTCGATCTCATTTTCTTTTTAATACTGTCGCAAAAGACGTTCGATCTTATTTTCTTTCTAATATTGTCGTAAAGATTGGTTTGGTGCATATATGGCTCAAAGGACCGTTTCAAGCTAGTCCATACGCCATTCTAAGTCTTTAGGAATCGTGACACAGGTTCTAAACCGTGGTTTGGGTACAAGCCACGGAGTTGTACGTTCGTTAAAAATACTGATAAACTGAAGAAATCGGTGTAAAAACACCGAAGATTGTCCAAAAATATCTAAGCGTAACTACGCACATCTAACCGGTACGGCTGATGCAACACCACCGAATTACACCCTCTCAACTATTGTCGTAAAGATAGCGATAAGTTCATAGAGCTTATACTAATGGAGAGGTCATGCCTATATGCTAACCATAGAGAGGGCCGCGCGAGGAGCAACAGAGAGATAGATATATTTTGTCTCAACTGTGGTTTCCTCACTCCGTGTTCTCTGTTATTCTCTTTTATAAGAAGTGCCCACAATTGAAACAGAAAAATATATTTCTCTTTAGCCCGTTCTACATTGATCGCAAGCGCAAACGCAAAGTATAGATCTCGTAGAATTGACCAATCACGCTGGTCAATTGGTTGATTTGATCAATACGATTAGTCAATTCTACCAGACCTGTTCCTTGCGTTTGCGCTTGCGATCAATGTAGAACAAGCTTTTGTCGATCTTCCTTGCACTCCTATGGCCTCTCCAGTAGTATAAGCTCTGGATAAGTTAAGGCCGTATTCATAGTCGAAGCTCAAGGTAATGCTTAAGACTGTCTCGGTGAAGATGGTCTTATTTAATTGAGATCATTTCAAGAACGATATAATTCACAGTCGCAATATAAAGTGATCTTCGTCGAGAAATTCTTCTTTAAGTAATTCTTATTTGATATAAGATTGTCTTTACAAAGATGTGCTTAAGGCCTGTTCTACAATACAGTCGTAAGCTGTAAGTCGTAAGAAATTGACCAATCACAGACAAATCAAAGAAAAATAATCGATTGTGATTGGTCAATTTCTTACGACTTACAGCTTACGACTGTATTGAAGAACAGGCCTAATACAATGCTTATTTATGATTTAGTTATTTCCGTAATATTTCCGTTGGATCCAATAATAGAAATATTGGTTCATTTTATTAAGTAGATATACTATCTAGTTTAATATTATTAGTTGTGACTAAACGTTCTTGGCTGCGTTTCATGTAGCTTAGAATGGCGTATGGACTAACTTGAGGCGGTCCTTTGAGCCATATATGCACCAAACCTTGGCTGCGTTTCGATCATAGACTTATATAATAGACGGAACATTCATGTAAGAGGAGCTGAACCTTCGTTAAAAGAGACAGAAATAATCATGGAGTAGTTCTCTTCTTTTCTAGCAGTGAGTTGATTAGTGGCCGCGGCAGGCCGAGGGAGTGGCCGAGAGCAACGAAGATAGAGTTCGAGAGTCAGTTGAAAGAGAGTGATAGTGAAAGGTGATAGCATAGACTTGTGAGATGATTGGTCCCTCACCGCTCTTATTGTAAGAGAGAGAAACAACTACTCCAGCACTATTTCTGTCCTTTAATGTTGTCTTCAACTTCGTTATATAAATGTTCCGTCTATTATATAAGTCTATGGTTCCGATATTCACTGTACTCACCATACCAGAGAGAAATCTGAGAGCGGCCATCCTATTGTAATTTTTTACGACGGTTTCAGTTGCTGGTTTTAGCCGTATTTCCACAAAAGTGGAACTCAAAGGCCGTTCTACATTAAACGCAAGTAGCAGATCTCGTGGAACTGATCAATCACGTTGGTCGATTGGCTGATTTGACTCTGCAATTGGTCAATTCCACGAGATCTGCGGCTTGCGTTTAATGTAGAACGGCCTTTGAGTTCCACTTTTGTGGAAATACGGCTAAAACCAGCGGCTGAAACCGTCGTAAAAAATTACTATAGGATGGCCGCTCTCAGGTTTCTCTCTGACCATACTCACAGCCAGAGATCTATAACAAGGAAAAACACTAACTTCATAGGTTCACTTTTAGAGGCACGAGACCAGAGAAAAGGAGACGCACGAAGTCCAAATATGGGCATAGATAGTCGAGCGTCATTATGCGCAGGCGCGTCTACTAAGCGAGTGCGAGCGAGACAAAGCATTGGAAAGAACGCGAGAAAGAGAAATGCCCAAACGTGCTTGAATGTTCACCGCATGCGCACAAAGCAGCTGGAGAGAGAGGCTACTATATTGTCTGCACCGTAACATTTGGACTTCAGGTCGGCACCGTACTAGCAACAGAGAGAAGCCTGAGAGCGGCCATGCCATTGTAGTTTTTTACGACGGTTTCAACCGCTGGTTTTAGCCGTATTTCTACAAAAGTGGAACTCAAAGGCCGTTCTACATTAAACGCAAGTCGCAGATCTCGTGGAATTGACCAATTGCAGAGTCAAATCAGCCAATCGACCAACGTGATTGATCAGTTCCACGAGAGTTATGACTTGAGTTTCATGGAGAACGGCCTTTGAGTTCCACTTTTGTGGAAATACGGCTAAAACCAGCGATTGAAACCGTCGTAAAAAACTACAATAGCATGGCCACTCTCAGGCTTCTCTCTGCTAGTAATATAGAAGTATTATATATATGCCTATATGTAGCAGTTTGTGATTATGACTGTTCAGAAACACCACTCGTACTTTATCTTTATCACTCATTAGATATAAAACAAAGATAGAATAACGCTCATATGCATACGAGTGGTGTTTCCGAATCAGTTTATAGGCTGCGCTAGCACATTCTGATCATAGGGTGTGTTCAGACAACTCAACAGTTGCACAATAGTTGAGAGATAATCACTTCTGATTGGATCATACTTTTGAAACCGTGGTTACGTTTAGAAAACTCAACGGTTGAAAGATCATCACTTATGATAGGACTATTCTTCAAAATCTGCTGAGGTTCCAAAAGTATGATCCAATAAGAAGTGATTATCTCTCAACTGTTGTGCAACTGTTGAGTTGTCTGAACGCACCCCGTAGCAGGTTTTGAAGAATAGTCCTATCATAAGTGATGATCTCTCAAGGGCCTTCTACAATAAGATATTAGCAGAGAGAAACCTGAGAGCGGCCATCCTATTGTAATTTTTTACGACGGTTTCAACCGCTGGTTTTAGCCGTATTTCCACAAAAGTGGAACTCAAAGTCCGTTCTACATTAAACTCAAGTCGGAGGTCTCGTGGAACTGATCAATCACGTTGATCGATTGGCTGATTTGACTCTGCAATTGGTCAATTCCACGAGATCTGCGACTTGCGTTTAATGTAGAACGGCCTTTGAGTTCCACTTTTGTGAAAATACGGCTAAAACCAGCGGCTGAAATCGTCGTAAGAAACTACAATGGCATGGCCGCTTTCAGGCTTCTCTCTACTAATATCTTATTGTAGAAGGCTCTTCAACCGTTGAGTTTTCTGCGTAACCATAGAGTGCGTTCAGACAACTCAACGGTTGAGAGATCATCACTTATGATAGGACTATTCTTCAAAATCTGTTCAGGTTCCAAAAGTATGATCCAATCAGAAGTGATTATCTCTCAACCGTTGTGCAACTGTGGTCTAGTTTCTACCGAAACTCTCAATTCGGTTACACTCCGGTACGGATTAAATTTAGTGTTCCGTTTCCATTGGAAGTAGAGTACTTATAGATCGAAGCGAAAGCGAAATCAGCGCAATTTGACAGGTTTCCATCGACTTAAATTTGATTCTACGTCGCATTAAATGTGAATTAATGCTTCGGTGGAAACTAGACCTGTGAGTTGTCTGAACGCACCCATAGTTCTAATGTTCACTGCTAGTACTGGAAATCTATGACTGCGTTCCGAGTTACGCATTGCGCGCATTTATCTATAGTACACGTCACGTATAGTATAGATAAATGCGCACATATGTGTAACTCGGAACGCAGCCTATAGCACATGACGTGAAGTATAGATTTTTAGTACTGGCAGTGAATATCGGAACGCCACAGTCAAAAGCGTTCTGCTGTTTATTCGCTTTGTTTGATATTGCTTTTTCAAGGTGTTAGAAACTTATTCTATCCAATTAAAACAAAATGATTAAGTCTATCTTACGGGTAATTAAATTGCCCATGATAGCGGAACGCGTGTTAGCTAATAATATATCGGTTCTTGCTTCTTCAAGTTTTATAACCTCAAGGAACATCTGCACTACCTTGTTATGCAGCAAAGAAATTCGAATGGTGAACGAAAAAGTGAAGGTTGGCAAGAACTCGAAATTTTCAATGGAACTGGAAGGCGAATATACAGTTGATACGAGTACGAATCAGCAGTAAGCATTATATTTGTTATATTTGTTTTTTTAGTTATATCAGTTATATTTGTAGCTTAATTATATTTGTCACACTTATAAATATATCTAGCTTCTTTAGATTATCTAGATTTCAATTCTGCACATAGTAGTATATTTTCTTTGTAATTAAAAAAATCTTTATTCTTATTCGGTTTGTTTTATTTTCCTGCACTGGCTGCACTAGTTCACAGTCTATCTTTTTTTATCTATATTAGAAGAAAAAAATAGACTGTGAACTAGTGCAGCCAGTACAGGGAAATAAAACAAACCTATTGTGTAAATTACAGGGAATTACAATTTCCTGATGCAGATACACCAAACAGACTCTTCAATGGTATACCATATAAAGAATTGCATATTGTCAACATAAAATCAACACCTAATAATACAATTATGAATTTTACTGATCATGAAGGCACAGTATTATCGTTACATTCATCTGGTATAGAAGGTTTTAAGAATGCTAGAAAAGGAACAAACATTGCTGCTCAACAAGCAGCTATAACATTTGGTCATGTAAGTACAGAATAAATACAATATTGTTCCATTAAACAGAAAATATACATGTACTTATATCTCTTTGTATAATTTATTTGTACATACTCTAATTTTTGTATTCTCATGTACAGCGTATTCTAGAGTATGGTATAAACACAGTAAGAATACGTGTTCAAGGTATTGGACCAGGTAGAATGGTGGGTATTTGTCAAAAACTTATTGTCATATATTTACTTTTATTGTATAAGCTTGTTTATATTAAAAATATATATTCTGATATTCAAAATTTTTATGATTTTCAGTCTTCTGTAAAAGGTTTACAAATGACAGGATTGAATATTGTATCGGTCACGGATGATACTAGAGTCAGTTTTACATTAAAACAAAGACCACGAAAACAAAGAAGAGTATAATTACTTTGTTTTATTATATGTTATAATTTCTGTAATTAATAATATTTTTGTTAAACTCTCTTATATATGAATAAAAAACTCTAATTTTTAATTATAGAAGAGTATAATTTTACTTATTATATTACTTATTATATGTTAAAATTTCTATAATTAATTTTTATGTTGAACTCTTATATGAATAAAAATCCGGTTTTAAAGTATTTAAGGGGACTCTAAAGTAGGTCTGTGTTATCGATAAAACTGAATTTTTTGCGCACACTAATCTTTTTTGATGGATCGACAAATTTTTTTCTACAAGTAAAAGTGCATACAATAAGGGATTTGGGAAGTCCAAATTTATATAAAATAAAAAAATTGAAAATTTTAAAACATTTTTGGTTTCAGTTTTATCGATAAAGCATCCGAGTGTCATTTTATCTTTGTTAAAAGGGTCCTGGATCTTCTTGTTATACCGATCGAACGAGTAATCCGTATTAGACGGTGTTTTTCATATTTATTACTCGGATAGAAAAACGGCTTTACAGAATAAAAAAAATAATGAAATTAATCTCGGACACTTTTCAATATATCAAAAATGTAACAAAAATTTTTGAAGTTACAATCACCTCTACTTTTAGTGTACTGATATTTGAAGTTCAAGAATTATGCATAAAAACCAAATTACTGTCCGAGATGAACATAACATTCAAGAATGTAATGAGACTATTAGACTACGATTTGGAAGCCAAAAATACACAAACACCGTTTAATACGTTTAAATCTAATATAACCTCTTTATATACATAGACGTAAAATATAAAAATACCTTTTCAAAAAAAGGTAAAAAAAGACGCCAAGTACATGCGCAACTCGTATCTCTAGAAAAAGTATTGCTACCAAAATCTTCTTCTACAGGATCTATTCTACAAAAGAAATGATATCAATAAGTTACGCCAAGTAAAATCTTTT